GAACCCGCGACCCTCAGATTGCGAGTTGTGTGCCTTAACCACCTGGCCATGCCGGGCCACAACCATCCTTGATAAAAGTATAAGTTTAAACCCACTTTTCTCGTCTTAAATTATAGATTCGCATAACAGACATATTGCAATAACATTTGAAATACGAATACAACCCTTACCACATCCAATACTGCACTGCTTAGTCCCCAGTGGCACAGCGGTATGTCTGCGGACTTACAACGCTAGAATCTTGGTTTCGATACCCGCAGTGGGCAGAGCACAGATAGCTCATTTTGTAGCTTTGTGCTTAACTACAAACAAACAATCAAGCACTGCTCGAAATGCGTAAAGATCCTCACAAAATATACACGAAATGAGTTGTGGGAATGAAATATGAAGCTTATTGTACACTGGAAATCCTGAACACAATTTCTATTTTATGACAAATGAGACAGTGACGTTTGAAGAAAGTATTCTATTAGTGAATTGAGCATAACCTATAAGGCAACAGAAAATCAGTTAGAAGCACTGCAATCTTATTGTGTTATAATACAGCATATTTCTGTAATTTTGTGACTATTAATAATGTGTAAGATAGTTGTGCGCTTTTTACTGATTACTAACAATGTAAATTGTCACTATTCCCACAGACTGCCGCCAAAATTACAAAAGTATGTTGTATAATAACCCGAATAGACTGCATGCTTCTATGTTATCTTATTATGCTTAACCCCCTTTCACTTTTAGATTAGCTTCTTCAAATATGGCCATCTCCTTTGTCATAAAGCAAAATAGTTTTCTATGTCTCCAATTTACGACCAACTTCATACTTCATTCCCACAAGCGATTTGGTGTAGATTTTATGACGTATATCCAGTAGTACAGTACTGGCACAGATTATATTCTAACGAAAATCTCAAGATTTCTGTAATGTAAGAGCCGCGTGTCATATAATATCAGACAAGCTGTAGCTATGCCTATGTAGGGATAACTCGGAATGTTCATCGAAATGGTATTTTAAATATCTCCTTAATAGATCATCATAACTTTACAATAATATACATTGTTTCCTCTTATAACAATATCTATGTAATGACTGAGTCACAAGTTCTGGGAATATCATAGCAAAAAGTTTGAATTTCTTGTTCTTCTTTTTACATGATAACTTAAAAACCAAAACAATGGTGTCAACCAAATTAACTGAGGTGACACAGTTTCAAATGGAGTATTTGATATTGTTGCGTCATCGAGGTCACGTGACTGGTGTGGCGCCCTCTAGTTTCTAGAACTATCTTGTTTCTTCATGAATGCTCTAGTATTTACTAGATTGGGTAGGTGGGTATATATAAGAGGGGGACAACGTGACGCGAGAATGTAATGTGTGTGTAGATAGTGAGTAATTGATCTGCAATCAGAAGTATTATTGATACAACTTTACCGATACACTCAACTTCAACAATCGCGCTAAACAAACGCTATAACAACGAACGCTCGGAAAGAATAAACCAGTTTTATTAAGTAAAGAACTTGTGTCGCTAAAGTTTCGTCGGAACGAAGTTACGGAAAGTTAATTAACAAACGGAGACGTAACAATACATACCTTGTTCACTGAAGCCTGGAATCTTCTACAACCTAGGAGACGTAATGATGTAACAATACTCTCTTGGCGAGAAAAATATCAAAGGTTCGAGTAACGTGACTGCAACAATATTAGTAGAGCCTAGACAACAATGCAATCGCAAGCACAAGTTACGACTCGTACACAGTTATGTAACGACTAAGATTTAAAACAATCAATCTTCAACACTCTTGTCATGAAACTAAACAATCATTAAATATTAAGTCACAAAATAATAACACTTACACTAAACAGTATTGTATATCCAACAGTAAGCCCCTCTTCAAGAAAAATGTTTACAATATTTTTACACTATGTAAAAAGACTGTTCTTAGTTCACATACTTCTCATATAGTCTACACCAACATTTACAGTTCGTTTGTCGGTCTCTCCTCGCCTAAGGCTTCATTTTGAGAGGTTCCTTTGTCTTCATTTTGACCTTTTGTTGCCTGAGGTCTGTCTTTCCTAATCTGTCTGTATGCTGACACCGTAGATCTTGTACCTGACCCCAGTGGCACAGCGGTATGTCTGCGGACTTATAACACCAGAATCCGGGTTTTAATACCCGTGGTGGGCAGAGCACAGATAGCCCATTGTATAGCTTTGTGCTCAGTTACAAACAAAATATCTTGTACCTCTTTATTCTGCTTATTAATCAGTTCTTCACTTATGTTAACTTATTTCTCATCTCCACCCAATGGTCTAAGGCCTAGTAGGTCTTTGTCTTCTATAACAAAGTCACTGTTTTCTGTTTCTGCATCTATGACAGCTACACCTTACACTAAACAGTCTTGTATATCCAACACCAGTGGATTTATATCTATATATTCAGGTAAATTCCTGTGTCAGGAATAGTGCTATTATCTTTCCTTCAAAAAAATAAAAGAGTAGAAAACATTTAAAATCTCAGCAACTTCATTATCTTCCCCAATAACCTTACGGTCAGCATCCTTTAAAAACCCGATCCTATTCTAACCTTTTCCGGTATTGTTGTAATCTATATTGTCACTGGGTGTATACACAAACATCTTCAATTTAATTACATTTTGTACATCACTACACAAAGTAGGGTGATGTCATACAAGGCAGTAAGTTTCGTAGATTCATATAACTTACTAAATTTATTAAAAGTAATAGGCTTTATGTTTCTTAAACTACCTACATTTGTCAAAGTATTTATGAATTTTCGAAAATATTCGTCCACTAGTTTTATTGTTGGAATGAAATATAGCAAAACTTGCATTGCCTACTAAGAAAGTTAGTAGTCGGTAGTCATCGGGTTAACCAATGCTCTACAGTTAAAGCTATATAAACCTGTGTCTATGAAATTTGTTTGAAATATTTAAATTAAATAAGGGGCTAGAAAACACGTAGTATGCCTTGACAACAGCACACATAAATTTTTCTTTCAAAGAGTGTTTAAAAATAGTATCTATTAGTGTGTTTGAGAACTATTAAACTAGAAAGAAAAATAGTATTTAAACCTTAGCATATGTGTCCCACCAGGGAACTGAACTTTACCAATCCATGAACTAAAAAAGTACATTTTTCTTAGCTAACAACATTGCTCAGTTGTGAACTGATGTAGAAATTGAAGCTTGTAATCAGAAGGTCGAATAAATAAAACACTTATATCTTTATTAAATTGTATTTTACCAAAATAAAGTTATTTGTTCTAAAAATTAAATCCAATATTATATTTTCTCTAAGGTAATTTACGAAAACTTTCACATGCATATAAATAGACACTTCAAAAAACAGAGGGCACTGTTTGTCTGCACGGAAATTACTCGTGGTGGAATAGCCTTATACCTCTAGTATAGTAACGTTTTTATTAATTTCTCTAGGTGTAATGTTTTCTAAAACTGCTATAGGTGTTGCTGCTGGAGTATGTGGAACTCTCTTTGTTGGTTATTGTATTTACTTTGATAGAAAAAGAAGAAATGATCCTCTTTTCAAGCAAAAACTGAGAGAAAGTAAGTAAATTAAACTCGGTTTATGGTTATTGTTACTTAATAATGATTTAGGCTTACTTTAGTACTTAGGTTTCACTTTCCGCAAGTGCAGCGCCCTCAGGCTTAATATTATTAATATTAATAAATGTTCTCTGTAAAAGTTCACCATTTGATGGGCCCCATAGGTTTTTGCCTGGAGAGTTTAGTACTGCTACTAGTATTAGTACTAATTGTAATAATACGAAGCATCGTACATATAAATTATATCATTTGATACTGAAAATTAGGAGTATTACTATTACTTTATCACATTCACACTGTAGTGTATATTTATTTTAATCTGTATCAGAATCATGTGTCAAGATATTTTTTATTTGTTTATTTTTACAATCTTTTGATATTTACCTAATCTTTCGGTTTCACCGTTTCTCATCAAAACTTACCAATTCCCTAATGTTTTAACGTTAACAGTTTAACTTTTAAGCATTTGTAAACTTACTTCCAAGAAGATTGTTTGGTTATTGGTAGAACACTTGACATTATTCATTACGTTCTATTTGGGTGTTGAATGTCAAGGTTTTTCCACGAAATCATTTAAGTTCTTCATGTTCTTTAACTGTGTTAATAAAACTGAAATATTACTTTAACCATCTAATTTGTTTTTAACATTTCAGAAGATTAGCAATGATAGTAATTTACCAACTAAATTAATTTTGATTCATTATTTTCATTGAGTGAAATAGTAACATTTTAAACTTATTGCCCGTGATGCTTCATTCTTTATTCATATTTCTTCCATACTTAGGTTTTTAATGGAATCTCCTTAAATACCAAAATTATTTTTAACCACTTTTTTTCTTATTACAGTTCATTTAAGCATAAACACTTCAATTTGATGTTTTAAGCTAAGGGACTTTCATCAACTCCAATCTCCAAATCCACCTCCCCCCAAAAAAATGTATTGCTACAATCATAAACTACTTTTACTGGGAATTTTCCTATACTTTGAAGTAATTTTATTAATTGCCTCATCCACATTTAACTGATTAATGCTGAGTTTTGTTTAGAAGTAACTGGCAGATTATTTAATCTTTTCTGCCTCATGAAAATTCTTAGATAGGTCTTGATTAATTTTCATTTCTTGAAATTCATTTTATTAGTAGCCACAGGTAAAGGAAGACAGCAGAAAATATGCTAAGATCACTGGAAGCCTTTGTTTCAAAGTCAACATGAAAGATTAGATTTTAAAAAAATAACAAGGAGTTCAGTCTCATTCTCAAAACTCTTGGAGTTTAAGTGCTCAAAACAGCTATTTACTAATTTTTAGAGCATGCTTCTTTAGATCTTCACTGCTCTGAGACTTTTTTGCTCATCAAAATAGCACACATTTCTCTGCCTCTATCATGCTTATGCATCATATCATCTAATTATGTTAATATTTTGCCTAAGACAAAGTTAAAAACTTTTCATTCAAATATTTTTTATGGGATCTGATGACCTTTCATCCTTTGCAAGTTCACCTGGCATTACTTTTATTTCTCTTCCAACTGCATGGAACTTCCTAACATTTCATTGAGTGAAGCAGCAACTTCTTCACATGCAATGAAACCCAGAAGACTGCAATCCTGATAAAGTGACTCAAAGCCATCCAAGTTAAATGAAACCATTTAACTTTCAATATCTTGACTTTGCTTCTAACATTACTTTTGATAAGATAGTATATCACATCTCAGCCAAAACAACAGATGAAAACTCTGAAACTTTCATTTGAACTTATCAGCATCCAATTTAATTTCTGACATAAGATTGTGTATAGACTTGATCTTGTAAAGTGTTAAGAATACCTCCAATCTGGTTTCATAGAGGGTGATTGCCTCCACCTTTGCTAGCCATTTTGTTTTATTAGGAATTTCAGTGTGATGCTAATAAGCATTTTCAACACATCCCAATGAGTAGTAGAAGCAGAAAACAGGGTATAAAATCTATGAACAATTCCAAAAAAAAGAATCTCAACATACCTTAACACCTAAGATACTCATTCCATTTGGGAGAGGTCTGGAGCAGAGAAGAATTTAACTTTTCTAACCATTTTGATAATAGTTTTTGTAATCCTACAGATAAATTAATTTTAAAAACAGTTTAAATACACCACACTTGTGATACTGGCTATAATATTTTCCACGTGATCTTGCAATATACTTTCATACCTTGCAAGCAATTAAACTAAGCCTGATAAAATTAAAATTACTTTCAGACAACGATACTCACCTCTTCAAAGATAAAATAGCTAGCGTGTTGGAGCTGCCAAAAAGATTTTGCACGTGTCCAGCTCTTGTAAAGCTCTCACCCCTACATGTAATAATGTGAACTGCACTAGTTTATGGTGCATTCAGCATTAGGCTATACCCTTCCATTAATAGAAAGGCAACACATCCTTCTTGCACAGAATTCCCTTTGAGCACTTTGTGTGAACATAAAACTCATTATTTTCTTTGGCACTATGCTGTTTAGATGCTATTTTCTTAAGCCTTTTGTCAAACAAAGAAACTTTGGAGCTGTACTTAATTTTTAAATTGAAATTAATTTCAGCTAAAGCTCATAATCACAATTATTATCTTTATTTTATTTCTTAATATATGCAAACCACAGGTTGGGAGAAGTGTTCAAAAGGCTGTGATAAGATTTCCTTGAAAGGACTATTGTCCATCATAAACGCTGGGATAGGGTATAGGTAGATTCTCAGTTTCATAACAAAAGACAAAACAACAATAGAAAATATGAAAAAAGATGTAAAAGTAAAGAAAACTAATTCAAGTAATTATTTCAATTAATTCAGTTTTGTAGATCTTGTTAAACTTGTTTAATAAGAATTCTTGTATTCACATATCAGATGCTTTCTAAGGTTCAGATACTCCTCAACAAGAATTGTCTTATTCCACTTCACTGGTGATTAGAGGTACTCTGACAGTGAGCAATGTTGTTACCATTGTACATCAGGTGGTTGGTTCTATCCTATGTTGTCTCTGACCAAGGACTATAAGCCTCTTCCTTTTGTAGCTTTTATAGAACCTGCCACATCTTTGGATGGTTTTTACCAGCTCTTCCCACAGTCTGCCTTTGTATTGCTGACATGTTATTAAATATTCTCCTTTGCTTTCACTTATAATGTCTTTGAATTACTAATGTGGATTTTCTCCTGTTGATGCTGTGACTATTTGACCCTTTCTGGAAATAAAAAGACCAGTTTGTTTGTTTGCAAGTTCTTCTGAATGACAGTAAAGTTAATTCAAATATAAAATAATAATAATTAATAATTGGTGTTAAAAATGAATAAATAATATTGTGTTTTACTTCTTACCCTTATTCTGTAAGTGACTTAAATAAAATTGATTATTTTAAAATTCACTTACTTAATCTCATCACCATAACTACCACTACTATTTCTGTCATACCCCAGCTGGCCTGATTAGATTAGCCTTGGTATTGGACAAAATGCATCATTGGCATTGGATGTTGCAGATATAGTGTGGTTGATATATTGAATATTCTTCCTTGCATACATTTAAAAGTTTTCTTAGAATTTGCTTCTTGTAATTCTAATCTGATTAAGATTAAATAGACTCACTTTTGTCCTTCATTAGTATGTTAATTCAGGAATGTAATATTTTTTCTCTTACTTCAGTTATTTCTGCTGGTTCACAGGTTAACCTATTGCATGCACCTCAAAACTCGGGTGGTTTTTTCACTTTATTCCCCCTCACCTGCTACTTGCATTGATGCAGATTCTTTTCTTTTTTTTTTTAGATATATGTTGACTCTCAATTGCCATGTCCTCCCCGACCTTGAGACTTCTCTGTGGTGTATGATCCTTCCTCATTCCTAGAGTACTATACCTTGAATCTCTTCTTTCAGCTTGGGAATCTTCTCCTTCTTTAGCTATCTATCTCAGTCAGTTTATCTTCATCTATTGCTTTGCTCAACATAAATTTTTTGGTTGGGATGCCTTACTTTGAAATTAGTCTTCCTCAATTTTCTCATTTCTATTCCAGGGAACTATATTTGGTGTTTTCAGTCTACAAAATGTTTTTTGGGAAGTTCCTCAGCAGTTGTCTATGCTCCAGCTAGGTTCAGGGAGGCCCAGCAAATTTCTCATCCTTGTGAGCCTGATCAGGTCCCCTTAAATTCTGCTTGTTATTTTGTGGCCCTTTCCTAATGTTCACTTAAATTCCCCCCCCCTAACAGGCCATCCATCAAGAATCTCAGATATGATTTATTTCTTGAGGCATCCATTGGCTCTTACACTTTAAGCATATTTGGACTTCAGAAAACACTTGATTTACACATGTGATCTCTTGGGGGGTTTCTTTGTCTTCAAAAGCTCAAGACTCACTTGTTTTTAATTATTTTCTGAGGACTTTGAGCTGACTGGGTTTGTATTTCACATCTGTATGGATGATTGATATCTCTTAACTCCATCCTAGGAGGCATCTTTTGCAGCAACCCTCCTTCTTGTTTGGGTTGGCTGGTCAGACTATCCAAGTGTCTATTAGCTTTATCAACTTGTTAGCTGGGTGAGCTTAGCAGTTTTCTTTGCATCTGAGATAGAAGCTTTTATTGTAAAGGGCCCTCACATCTTCTTTTCTTATGTAGGAGTTCTATCTCTTTTGGTGATTCAACCCTCTGCACTCCCCTATTCATCTGTATGTACATCTGTACATCCCTTTAAGTGGCTTGTGGCAAATCAGTGGACTATGTTGAGTCATCCTTTGTCTTCCTTTATTTCTCTCCCTCCATATCTGCACCTCTCACAGTGGTGGTTGCTTGCTCAGCCCCACATGATGCTGGGCATCTTTCTCCAACCTTGTCCAGACTTGCTTCTGTTTACAATTACCTCTGTTCAGGTGGTGTGTGATCCTGGATACCTTCACTATTACCAGTGTTTTGTTTATAGAGAAGCAGTTTTTTCCAAATCGACATCCTTCAGATGTTGGCAGTTCAATTAGCCTGTCACATCTGTCTGGGCATAGTATCTTAATCTATTCAGACAACTCGACTGTTAGTTCACTCATTAATTGTCATGGAGGTACTTGCTCTTTGGAACTCTGCTTTCTTGCTCTAGTGCTCCTCTCTGTGGCCCATGACCACTACATTCAGTTATTGCCCTGCCGTATTCTGTGAGTTTTGAACTTAGTGACAGATTGTTCGTCTTGCCTAAACTAGATCCTTTTCACACAGTGGCTTTTACATCTTCTGGTGTTTTAGTAGATTTATTTTCCAACTTTGTCAGTCTTCTTTTTGATGCTTTTGTGACTCCTCTTAGCAATAAGCTTTCACTCTTTTGGTCATCAGTCCCAGACTTTGCAGTTACAGCAGTGGATGTGTTGAGTTAGGATTGGTCCATCTTCATTCTGTATGCCTATCCTCCACTTTAACTTCCTCTCAAGGTGCTGTCTCTTAATTTGTATCATCCCTTCCAGCATTCAGACTCTGCAGTTACAGAAGTGGATGCATTGAGTTAGACTTGGTCCATCTTCATTCTGTATGCCTATCCAGGATTCTTGTGACTTCTCAGTTAAAATTCTGCCCCACACTTTGAATAATCAAAACACTTTCAGCATCCATGTCCATAACAGTTGCACTAGCAACTGACATTCAACCTTCTTTCCCAAAACCAGAAACTTTGACACCAACCAGTCCAATGCTTACATTAGTTCTTGAGTTGAAACTCTGAAACCTGACATCCAAATCCACATCCTCACTAAAAAAGACTTAGAAATGTGAGAAGAACCATTGTCCATGGATTGATGGATTGTTCACCAAAAACATGGTCAAATTTTGCATGTTTCAAGAAACATTTGTAAAGCACTCACACTTTTCTGATCTTTTTTGTAGGTCTGCTGTAGCTTGAGCTTATGAGCATGGTGAGAGTCATACTTGACCATAATGATTCCTCCATCAAACTCTTTACAAGTAAATTGCTAGGTTTGAACTAACTATGGGAGCAGATGAAAGACATGACTAATATATGTATGAAACTCTATGAGAAACCAGGTGACATTTTTTTTGCTGTGGAAGTTTATAATATATCTGTGAAACTCATTTATTGTCCTAACTTTTCTTGATATAGTGTACAAAATCATTTTTAGCACTCGCTTACAGATGAGAATACTTCAACAGTTTTTTACTCAAAGTATTTTATAATTCATATTCAGTCATCATGTAACATTTATTTGATGTAATCCACAAAGAAAAATACTGAAGTTCCAACTTTAATTTATGCATAGCTTCAAGGAGTCTTGTTGTAAAAATCAATTTTTTAGAACTTTTCTGCTCATCCTGAAGTATAAATTATATATTTGCTAAAAACTATCATCCCTGTAAAATATATACTTCTTGTCTTGTTTTCCCATGTGATTTTTTTTTCTCTTTCTGTGGTTTTATTACTACAGCCTTTTCTAATAAAAAAGCCATGTGTGGCAAGTGTCTCACAATAGAAAAACAAAGAGCAAGTTTAAACAAAAATCTGACTCTTTATAGGCCTGACTCAACTAGAATTGTTTGAACCCCCTCTTTGCATGGCCCAGTTAGCAATAGCAAGAACATATGAAATACTTTTTGGTTACTCAACAGTGTTTATAAATAATGCTTAATATTTTGAAATAAGAAAAATTGTATCCAATAAATAATTGTCTTTTGTAATTTTCCAGAGAGAGCTAAAGCCAAAAAACAGAAAGAAGAGTCTAAAAAGGGAAGTAGCAAGGTATGCAGTTTTTCAATTCTATCTATCTATCTAAGCTGCAGTCATCCCTTGTTGGATGTAGCTCCTCGTCAGACCAATCCAGTATTTTTTATTCTTAGTATGCCATGTCCATCTGATTTCTGCTTCTGCCACTCTATCATCCCTCCATCTTCTCTTTTGCTATCCCTTAGATCTTTTCCCTATCCTAGGTTGTCATTCCATTGTTCTTAATGTCCACCTATTATTGGAATACCTTGCTACATTCCCAGCCCATTTCCATTTAGTTCTCAGAATGAACCTTAATACATCTTTTATATTTATTGTTTTTCTTATTCTGCCATTTCTCCATCTGTCTTGTAGTGTTATATAAAGTATTTTTCTTTCCATAGCTCTTTGTGTGGTTTCTGTCTTTTTCCTTATCTCTTTTGTTAGTGCCCATGTTTGGCAGCCATATGTTAATGTTGATAGTACACACGTATCCATGACCTTTTTCATCAAAGTAATGGAGATATCTTGACCCTCTAGAATTTCTTTATACATTCCAAAACATTGCCATGTTGCCTTTATTCTTACCATAATTTCTTCCTTTGTTGTGTTTTCCATTTCAAGACTTTGTCCTGAATGTTTGTACTCTGACACTTTTTCTATTTCTTCATTCTCAATTTTGATGGTATCTGTGTCATGATAGTGAATTATATATTTGGTTTTTCCCTTATGTATTTTTAATCCTGCTTTCTTGCTACTGGCAATCAAACTTTTTATTAGGGCTTCCATCTTTTTTGGATTCAGACCAAAGACGTCATGAAGTGGAACCAGCTTTCAAATCTAGTATTTCCTAAATAATAAGCAAAATAACTTGCAAAGTACTTGCAAACAGTTTATAATATGTTAAAGCAAATTTTTATTGGAACCAGTATTTAACTGGTATGATTCAACTGATGACAACATCTAATGAAAGTTGAAAGCTAGCTCCATTAATATATTGATGGAATATATCTGTGCTGTGTAATTCTGTTTCGTTGTTTAAATAGTTTTGTTACTTTGATGCTGACATTTAAGAAAAGTAAGAAAATAATTTATTTAAATATTTTATTACGCTTTAAGCAGACATATTGAAAAGTTTTATGAATGAATGAACCGCAAAGATATAAGTTTGGTTTCTTCTTGGTACATAAATATAACATATATATTATTTTTCACTGATTAGTAAGATTACTAATGACACTAAATATAATTACTTTTAACAACAGCTTCCAGATTTGAAAGATTACGAAGCAGTGCAGAAATTTTTTATCCAAGAAGTTCAACTTGGTGAAGAATTATTGGCACAAGGTATGAAGAGTTTCTTCTTGGTAATTATAATGCATTATTTTTAAACCAAATTTGTTTTTGAAATTACTCTTTCATTCAGTTGAATATTATTTAAGATATCTTTATATTGCTTTTTTCTTGTGTACCATGTACTGCTAAAATTAGACTGCAGGAGTGATCTCACCTTGTCAATATTCTTGACCCTGGGCATTCTGTAGGAGATATTTGAATTGATCTGAACCATGTTAAAATTGGTTGATTTAACCCATTCATCTCAAAGGGAAGACATAGGGGCCTTCAGGGAGTGACACAGAGAGACCAGCTCCAAAAACCAACTACCTTATGTCACTTCCAAGTACATGCATTAGGGTATATGACAGGCTTGTTAACCCTCTTCCTATCGGCATTTTCTTGTGTGCATGTCACAAGGTTTTACTACATTACATTCAAAATTTAATTAAGGTACTTTATTATCATGATATACAAAAATGTGGCATCACAATGTAGCTAATAATCCAAATTTTAACATTATATATGTTTTAAGCTCTTTTGCTTTTTAGCTATCCCCTCTTTTCTAATTTATTTACCACCCCTTTGAGAAGTATAATATTTAATGTAATTGTGATAGTTACAGAACATTGTCTGCTTTTGTATGTTATTATTCTGTTTTCTTTGGTGCATTATTGAATTCAATACAAAATTATCTAGAGCAGTAGTACCATTAGTATATAAAGTAGGGTTAAGTTTCATTGACAGTCATCATTAAAAAAAAAAAGACTACCTAGGTAAGTACTATATTTCTTGTTTTTCGTGTGTATTTTGTATTCACTATTATAAAACTAATTAAAATTTAAAATTTAGAAACTTTTTAGGTTAGATTAGGTAAAATAAAGAATAATGATAATAGTTATTAGAGGGTGCTACAGAAGAGAGAAGATGTTGAAAAGTTAAGCTCTCAGATTTCTGCAAATTATTTAATATTAATATTATAATTTGTAGTAATTTGGGATACATCACACAAGAATAAATAGATATTATAAAATTGTTAAAATAGTTAAATAAAAGTAAGACAGTCAAAGTTTTTACTTTGAGGTTTAGTGGTGTAAATTTTACTAATTTTATAATAGGCTTGCTATGTGTAACAGTACTTTAGACTTAGGTATAGTTCAACTTACTGGTAAATCATAAAACAGGTTAAATACATTGTTTTATCAAATAAATACAATCTAAAAAGTAGTTTATTTTCTCTTCATGTTTTAAGGATTAACTTATTTACTTGAACTTAGATCCATTAGTTTAAATTCAGCCTATAGTTATAGATAGTTGTAATATAAATTAGGCTAAATACATTATATTATTAACATCATGTATACATCAAAGACTAGTTATTGTCACTTCTAATAAAGTTCTATTTCTAAGTTTTATATAATTAAAGATAAACTTTATTACTTTAGTGTGAAGACAAACTAGTGATAAAAAAAACTAATATAATTGGTTCTTAAATGTTAGGCTTAACAATAACAGTGTTGACATTAGGCTACCGGTATTTGGTATTCAGTATTTATTTTTCAGGCTATAAGTATAAATACAAAGGTTAAGACTAGTGTAAGAATTTAGTGTTCCCAGTTTGTTAGATGTAATGGGTGCAATGAGTGGGTTTTATTTGGGAACTTGGGACTGGCATGTACTTTTAAGAAAGCTAGTAATGAAGATATGCAATTTGTATGTAGAGTTTGTAGGTTGGAGGAGAAGTTGGAAACTATTCTAATTAAAGTAGAGGCAATAGATAAAGAGAAGTGTAGACTGTGGAAAATGGCAGCAGGATTTCAAGAGGAGCTTAAGCTTTTAAATGCAAGGATTACATCAGCTAACAATGACTTTCAGGAAGTTAGAAAGAGTACTATTAGAGCTAAAAATAGTGAATTTAATTGTAATGAGCCTATTCTATTGAGCAACAAGTTTCAGCCTTCTGCAAATTAAGTACTATTAAACAGTATAAGAGATAAAATTAAAGAAAAGCATAAGAAATTTAAATTTACTGGTATGACAGGAGATTTAAAAGATTACGAAAATCTTTTGACATTCTTTGAAAAGGTTACTGCTTATGTACTTGGTGGATAAGATTGTAGAGTTGGTGTATCTGGATTTTCAGAAAGCATTTGACAAGGTGCCACATAAAAGGCTTGTAAAAAATTATAGCTATCGGTGTGGGGGATATAACCTTAACAGCATCATAAAAGAAAGGGATCTTGGCATAATAGCTGATCAGTCTCTTAAGCTATCCAAGCAGTGTGCTGTTGCTAGTGTTAGGGCAAACTAGATTTTAGGTTGTATCTACAGAAATATTGAATACAAGGTCTAAAGAAGTTATAAATTTGTTGTATAGGTCACTGGTTAGGCCACATTTGGAGTATCATGTTCAGTCTTGGGTTCCTTACCTTAGGAAGGACATTGAATTGTTGGAAAGGGCTCAGAGAAAGGTTACTACAATGGTGCCTGGGATGGAGGGGGTGTCATATGAGGAGAAGTTGAATTCTCTCAAATTGTTTTCTCTTGTTGAGGGGAATCTGATTGAGGTGTTTATGACTGTAAAGGGAATTGATTGTGTTGATGCATCATCTTTTTTCATACTTAATAGAGAGAATAGCAGGACTAGGGGACACAAATATAAGGTAGGAGTCATCTTCAACTAAGACAGTTTTATTTTTCTAACAAGGTGGTTTGCCTTTGGAATGGGTTGTCTTCGGATGTTGTGGTGGCAGCAAATTTAAGTGAGTTTAAGAGAAAGCTTGATAAGTATATGAACGATGATGGCTGGCTTTAAGATTTATTTTTCTTAAATTATTTATTAATAAGTTTAGAGGATGGAACAGCCAAGATGGACCAGTAGTTTCCATGTTGTCCCAAAACATTGTTATAAACATTTTCATGAGGTAAACTTGCAAACAACTTGCGAGTAACCCTCAAGTTATGTAATGCAATAGGTTAATGTGAGCTACATGTTCTCCAAGTGATTTAAAACTTGTGTGGTGGGAATATTAGTCAGATATGGATTAACTCTTTTCAATATGGGGGTCGGTCAATGTGACAATCTCGTAACCATTTTGTGGTTTTAAATTAGTCAGCAAATGTTAATGAAATTTGGCAGATTATCAGTAAACATTACAATGCTTTCATATGCAAAATATCTAATTTTTTATTAAGTCATAAGGTTTGTAAAGCAATGTTTCTCTCATGGCTTTTTTTTTTTTTCTTTTTCACATCTTGCCTATCTTTCATGCAAAGTAATTTTCATTTTAAGAATAAAAATACTTTTATGCATCAGAAAATTTTGAAATTTCACATGCAAAATCTTTATAATGTCCGAATATTTATCAGACGTTTCCTAAAAAACTTTACCTTTTATCTGTTATTTTCAGTAATTAATCTCTGTATGGGTTCAGTAGATTTGAATGATCTCGCAACCACCATAAAAAAATTAGGAAAT